ACCACCTTATTAAGTGGATACTACTATTATCTTCATTTTACAGAGAAAGAAACCAGGAACCAGAAAAGTTAAAGAGGGGACTCAGAACTGCTGAATGGCAGGGCTAAGATTCAAAGGAGGGTTACTCTGACCCAGAGCCTGAGTTCTTAGTGGTCTTCTCTCTGATATATAGGGAAAGGCTTCCTGCTTCCTGCAAGGATCATAAGTAGATGCCTTCCAGGCATGATTTCTGAGCCTCCAAAGATATGACAACCCCAGGAACATTTACTCTCGATGTCTACTCTCGTAGACCAGTTCTTAAACTTTGGGGTACATCGGGATTACATAGAGGGCTTGTTAAAACACAGATTTCTGGGCCCCACTCTGAGAATTACTGTTTCAGTAGCAGTTGTTAGTGCGGCTGCTTCAAGTATCATCTTTTGAGAGCCACTGTCTGGTCCCTCAAAACTGAGAGGTCCTTGGAGGCGCCTGGGTGGCTTAGTGGGTTAAGCGTCCGACTTTCACTTAGGTCATGATCTCGCGGTTCGTGGGTTCGAGCCCCACGTCAGGCTCTGTGCTGACAGCTCAGAGCCTGGAGCCTGTTTCAGTCTGTGACACCCTTTCTCTCTGGCCCTCCCCTGCTCACGCTGTCTCTCTCTCTCCTAGAAATAAATTTTAAAAAATTAAAAATTAAAAAAAAAACTGAGAGGTCCTCTAGGCCTCACTGCCTTAGTCACCTCATCTGCCTAAGTAATCTTTTACTTCTTAGTCCCAGATCCCCTAGGGTCTTCCCTGACAAACTATAGTGTTATGTTTGGCAGTGGCTGTGTATTTTGGAATTCCCTGAGCTCTTTTGAAAATAGTATCTCCCACTCCAGAAACAATTTACTGTTGCCTTAGGTAATGAAATGTAGAAAGAGGGGCCCCAGAAGGACTGGTAGAAGGGAGCAAAGCCTCCTGGTGCCCTGAAGCCTGACCAGCTCTCTCAAAGGCAGGGGCAAGTCTTTTTATAACCTGTTGGGATTCCCTCTGGGAACTGATCACACTGGGGCACTCATTAAAACCTCCTCAGAACATTCACACTGAGAAAGTGAGAGTTGTAATTGTGAATGACTGGCCCTTTAATTCCCCTCCCCCCAAATACATTCCTTCCTCTGAAGAAGCTGTAACTGGATGCCTGGCTCTCCCTCCTCAGCCCACTTTCTTTCTCTGCTCACTCTCACTGGGTGCGGCTAAGAAGAAGCCCTTAGGCCAGGTCAGTTTACACAGAGGCGAGGTGGGAGAACGGGGCCAGTCATCAGGATTAACCGATTTAATGCCTGACTTGTTTATCCTGCAGGAAACGTCACCTGGTGATGTCCCCATTGATCCTTTCAGAACATGACATCCTATGCCAGTTTTTTGTGGACTGTGAAGATAAATGAACAGTTTAGTGACAAAGCAAAAGAATTCATCAATGGAGGAAAAACAACTTCCTGGAAGATGTGTGAATGAGGATTAGTGCACAGCAGGCGTCCTGCTCTGTCTCTCTCTGTGACTGGCTGCAACTATTTTAGGTGTGAGAAGGTACTGGTTCATGAGAGGGTATCAGACACAAGTGTAAGGAGACTCAGGCAACAGAAGGAAGCCTTCTGGAAGCAACTGCACCTTCATCATGAAGAACTAAGGGGCAACAGACTCAAAGAAAGGCAGGCTCTCCTTGGGACTGGAAACAACCAAGTTTTTTTTGAAGCATTTTCCTTTGCTTTGGGCAGAACTAATATAGCCTCCTCATTCCATTTCTAGAAGGGCAGCTGGGGTTGGTGGGGAGGGTGATGGGGAGAGTGTGTGGACTATACAGATGTCAGGATGATCCAGACAGCTGTAGAGGGTCTGTAATGGGACCCAGAAATGAGAACTACTGAATTCTGGCCATCAGGTTATCAGCCAAAGCCACATCATAGATTGCCCAAAATGAAACTATCCCAGAAAAAAAGGAATAAGAAAATTAGGCATTTAGTAATATTATATGTCAAGCACTACATTCAGCTCTTTTGTTCTTCTTTAATTATCATGGCAACTCACTAAGATAGGTATTATTATTATATCCAATTTACAGGTGGGGGTACTTAGGAAAACATGAATTTAAGCAATTTGCTTATGCTCACCCAGCAAGTCTGGAATTGCAATTCAATTCAGATCTTACTCCAAATCATAATATTTTTTTCTTAATGTTTTATTTATTTCTGAGAGAGACACAGTGTGAGCAGGGGAGGGTCAGAGAGAGAGGAAGATACAGAATCTGAAACAGGTTCCAGGCTCTGAGCTGGCTGTCAGCACAGAGCCCAACATTAGGCTCGAACCCACAAACTGTAAGATCATGACCTGAGCCGAAGTCAGACGGTTAACAGACTGAGCCACCAGGTGCCCCTCCAAATCATAATCTTAATCCTTATATCATATTCTCTACTAATAGTGCAGAAGGTGTTTTGCGGAAGTGTCAAAAGGACAGAACGGAAGGCAGAAGGGCCTCCTTTTAACTTAATATCCCTGGTGAGGAGGTATGTTGAGAAGTATGGCTAGGTCACCCATAGAGTACTGGGGAGATGGAAGGTCTGTCCAGCTCAGTCCATGAGGACTGGGTCTCAAGTCAGGCACAGTCCTGGACAGAAGGGATGAGACAGGAGGGGTTGGGACACTCAGGAAGGGGAACAATGGGACTCCTTCCCTACCTTCCCTAAAGAAGATGGGTTCCTAACATTCTTTTAAATCTGAAGTAGAGACCTGGGCCAGCTACAGATGAAATAATCAGCAGACAGTTCCTAATGCATATTTGCCTAGGAAAACACACCCATTAGCATCATCAACAAAGGGATAATGTATTCAACCTTAGACCTAGACCAACCTGCAAAGCCTCTGTGGGAACAAGAAAAGCCCTGAACTGAAGACAGGTGAGCAGGGCAAGGTTGTGGCTGCTTTCACAGCAGCGTTCTTACCAAGGCAGATGCCTCCTATCCTGCTATACTTGGCAGCCCAAAGCCCCTTCTTCACTTCACCGCTGGCATTGAGGTTGCAGATTTGTCAATGAACTATTTTATGTTCTTCTCCTTGCCATCTGGCAATATTAACTCTCTAATGAATTGCTTTAACTTGTGCGTTTGTTTTTTGTTTTTTTGTGGGTTTTTTTTTTTTTTTGACAAATGTGACTTTTAGTTGAATCATGCAGCATTCATAAATAGCAAATGCTGGCTGATTAGAATCAATGAAAGCCCTTAGAATTGCCAGCAAAAATGGGCCCTTTGCTGCACATGTTATTTGGATAGCCTAATCATTTGAACGGCACCTGATTATTTTTGGCAAGAATGTTTCACACACACACTTATGTCATCTGTAATGTATCTATTATGTATTTGAATTTGGATAGACTCTTACAAGCCAGCCATGGCATGAATATAAGTGCTAGGTACACTCGGATTTGGAGCTAGACACACGTAGGTTTGAATCGTACTTCTGTCACTTACAATACTGTATGAACCTGGGTATGTTTCTTGATGTCTCCAGTTTCTCACATGTAATATAGATATAATAAATCCCTTGCAAAATTGTCATGGGGAATAAATGAGATCCCATATATAATGTGCTTGGCCCAGTGTCTGAGTTGATTATGGCTCAATAATTAGTAACTATTATCATCATCATGTTCTATTAATAGAGGATTATGATGGACACCATTTGCAGTCTCTGTAATACTTCTTTTCTGAAAACTACCACAGGGATGGACCTCCAAAGCCATGTTTTTATTATATGATATTGCTTTAGTGATTGGGCAAGAATAAGGAAACTAAGGAAACATGAGTTTAAGCAATTTGTCTGGGCTCACCCAGCCACTGGGTTCTTGATCCGACCTGACAGATTCTCTTTCCTGAAAGTTTAGATTAGGAATCAGTCTCCATTGGTCCTCTGAACTAAGACACTGTGAGGTGTTCATGTCTGGAAATGTCCATGTCAAGGCAGTAAAAGTCAGTCTGCAGAGTGATAAAGATGTGCAGAAAGAAACAGATCTGACTTTAATTTGAAGTCAAAGAGAGTGGTGCCTTGGTTTTCATAACTTTCCACTTTCGTGAGAAACTCCATTCCATCTATGTATCTGTTTATGTATCTATGTATCTGCCTTTTGCTTACCACTTTGAATGGGTTTCCACTGTCTTCAATCAAAAGATCTTTGCTTAACAGTGTCATCTCTGTGTATAAGGCCACCAGATCTTTTGTGTGTGTCTCAGATAGCCTAAGTATTTGAAGGATGCTGGTTTGGGGCATGTAGGCGACTCAGTCAATTAAGCATCTGACTCTTGGTTTAGGCTCAGGTCTTGATCTCATGGTTTTATGAATTCAAGCCCCATGTCAGGCTCTGCACTGGCAGCATGGAGCCTGCTTGGGATTCTCACTCTCTCTCTCTCTGCCCCTTCCCCCCACTCTCTCCCCTCCCCAAAATAAATAAATGAACTTAAAAAACTAAAGAAAGATGCTTGGTGGGGCGCCTGGGTGGCTTAGTCGGTTAAGCATCCGACTTTCACTTAGGTCATGGTCTTGTGGTTCTTGGGTTTGAGCCCCGCGTCGGGCTCTGTGCTGACTGCCAGCTCAGAGCCCGGAGCCTATTTCAGAGTCTGTATCTCCCTCTCTCTCTGACCTTCCCCGGCTCACGCTGTCTCTCTCTCTCCTAGAAATAAATAAAAATTAAAAAAAAAAAAAAAAAGATGGGATTATCCCTTTAAAAAAAAAAAGAAAAGAAAGATGCTTTGTTATTTTACAAAAGAGCTAAACACACACACACACACACACACACACACTTTTATCTGTTTTCAATTCTTGAAGAACATGAAGTAGAAAATTAAAATAATCATATATACATATAAGTATGTCATCCATATAAGGAAAAGAAGAAACACTAAAAAGAGAACCATTAACATTCCTGGTCTTGAAAAAACAGACCATCAGATTGCTTTCTAGAACCCAAGCAAGAAGAGAGAGACTTTGGTCTTTACCTGGTGTTGCACTGGATACCGTTGGCCACTGCTGATCAGGCCCCCCTGGCCCAGCCCGTAGAATGCCAGCCTCCTCTAGGTGCACAGAGCTAAGTAAACACACAGATCCAAATCATGGTTAGACCATAAATGCCTCTCCAGATCTCCTTCCACCCACAGGAAGCACATAGATCGCCGCCAACACATTCTACTCATACTTGAACTGCAGCAATTACTGCTGAGCGGGTACTTTGCATAAAACCCTGCCAATGTGCTGCTTGCTATACCATTCAGGCAATAAACATGTTTTATCTTTATGACAATTTTGGTCGTCATCAACGCCACATGGCGTTCACTAAATCTAACAGGAAGCTCATCAGAGGGCTAATGCCATTTTAACATCTTCATGCTGAAGCAGAGAAAGAGAGCTTTTTCCCAGAAGCTCCAGGCCTCTCTTGCCGATTCACTTGTTACTGGGTTCTCTAGAGCAAGGACGAAAATACACAAAAATTATTTGCCGGTAACTGTAGCATTATTCCCGTTTAGCTACCCAATTACTTCTTGACTTTATTTTCTCTTTTACTCTTTCTGTATCTTTTACTCACAGACAACCTGCCCTACATTTCCTGAGACTTGAGGAAGCCTATCATTACCACTCACAGATCCCAATTCAGAAGAGATCAATTCAGTATGAAATATTACAGGTAGTGAAGCATAAAGTGGGACTCCCTTAGAGGTAAGCAGAGATAGAATATAAGCTATTAAGGATTTAGCACTCATACATATTCATTGATATATGTCTAATGCCAGCACATAGGAGACCCTCATGTATTTGTCAGATGGATGAAGGAACAAATGGGGACCCTAAAAGTAAACATCATCTAAGAACATCCTCACCAGAATTAGAGGATTATTTTAAAACAGACATTGGTTCATCTTGCAAATTAAGTTTGTAAGACAAAACTTATACTACTGCCTGAGGGGTTTTGTGAGGCAGCAGAGCAGACAATCTTGAATTATTGTGGGGGAAGCCCATCTATAAATTGAATATCTTCTCACTCTCTGACTTTGAATAACATATCTAATAGAAATTTACTCATTAAGCTCTGCCCTATTGTTATTCTGCCCTCCATCTTTATCCTAGAATACTCTCTTTTTTCCAAATAGTAATATCCTTCATTTGTTCCTGAATTCTACCAGCAAATTATATGGGCTCAATCAGACTCATTCTGAAGATGTAACTACCTGGGAACCAGCTCAGCTCAAGGCAGAATTTCCAAAGATACTGTTACGTGATGTCAGAGGCTGGAACTGCCAAGAAGCCAAGCATATGTGTAAAAAAAGAGAAGAATTCTTTAAGACTGCAGCTCTAATACATGCTCAGTATACTGTGGGGAATAAATTACATTTAGCTTCCATTTTTATTACATTTCTTATCCTACTTATATCTCATAATATCTTAATTGAAATCTGAATAGGAGGACATTTGGCTTTTTTTCTTCCCCACTTGAAAAATAGAATTAAGGAAGTGATAATGTTTTAGGGTTTTATTTGAAATGTAGTTTTTAAGGTGCATCTCATGGCTTTGGTACTTTTCAAGTAAAGTACTGATTCAACTGGGAGCGAAGAAGCTGGTACTGTAAACCATGCTTTCTCCTCCTGTATGCTTCTGCAACGACAGCTTAGATGCAGGCCAAAGCATAGCTGGTCACTAACAAATAGAAAGAATCGTTCCGATACCTTGTGTCCTGGTGTCTGCATAAGTGTTTCTGGGCTAAAATTGTGACCCGGTTCCAAAGTGACATCTCGCCATGCCAGCTACCGATCTGCAGCCCTTCAATGATGGCTTCTTGTTCAGACACGGCACCCATTATAATGATTTCTGCTCGACTTGTAATGTAATGCTTGAGAATGTGTTAATTTATTTTACTTTAATGCATTTTTAAAGGGGTTTAAAACTAATTTTTCATTAACACATACTTTGTGAGCTCTCTCTTTAGAAAATCGATCTAGGTTTGGTAAAGATTTACTTAAGGGTTGCCCACACATTTTGAGGGGCTTAAGTTTAGCATTTATTCCTTCTTTAAAACTAAATCCCTTTGGTGTGTGTTGATTATTTTGGTTTCTTGGTTTCCAAAGACATTCAAACATAGAGAATCTTTTTTTTGGCCCTATGGCATTAAATTGGCTCTGGGAATAATGGTAGTTAATCAATTACTGTCACAGAGACAAAGTAGAGAAAGCAAAATTATATTAATCTGAGTCTTAGAGTAATGCTATTACTCTAGATTAATTTGAAATAAGCTAGATTGGGTCTCCAGATATTCAATAAAGGCCTTTCACATGGCTCATCCTTTCACATGGCCATTGATGGAAACAAAAGAGTAACAAGATGGAAAAGATAAGGAAATTCTAATATGGGTGAACATGAACAAGAAAAACAGACGATTATTGTGGTTGTTACGATGTAAGAGTCACTGTGTGATAACAAACCAAGGTAGACAACGTGTACATATATTCCAGGCCAAAACATTAGTGTTCATTATAATTTCTAAGGGAGGGAAAGAAAGCACAGGTGGAGAAGGGATGAAGGAAGTTGTCATTATTTTCTTATAGAAATTTTGATAAGAGAACATATACAGCATCCTGTCTCTGTAATTTTGCAAGAGACTTATTTGCCAGTACTTGAGGAGACAAAAGTAAATGTGTTCCCATGTAAAAGTATCTAAAGCTTCTAAACAGCAGTTTCCAGTCCTTACACACATAATTTGTCTGAGACATACAAAGTTAAAGTTCTTCTGATTGATATAAAGGAAGGAAACACAAACCTGTGCATTCCTGCTCTTAGAGAAGCAGAGTAACGCCAGTCTGGGTTGGGCTGTCGGGGCTGCAAAATCACAAAGGGAGGTTTTGTTAATAAGGCAAAACAAACAAACAAACAAACAAAAAGCACAATGATCTCACAGTGATTGATTAGTTGTTTCTTAAATATTTCCATGTATCTGAAAAAAACATTGAAGGAGCCATTTTATGTGAGACTCTACAATGATACTCATATATATAGCACTTCATGAGAAAATTAGCTCATCAGGGTCCTTGCAAAGACTACATATCATGGAAGACTAGATTTAATGATGCTGTGAGGACCAGCTGTGGCTTTGCCTTGCTCAAAACAGGTCTATGTTCCTAAAGCAGCAACAGGGGGAGGGCAGTCTATTTTGAGACAGGGAAAGCTTTCATTGTTTTTGCCCTCAAATGCCTCATTAAGGGAACATCTCCAATTTGGTATTCTAGCTAAAACAGAGTGCACAACTACACAAGTTCTGCTGGTCTGGCCGGACTGCAGAGGACTGCAATCTGCTGCTGGCTTTGCAGACTGCAGCATGTCTGACCCAGGATGGATGTGCCCAGTCATAATGCCTGCAACTGATAACTGCTTCTTCTGCTGGCTGAAGAGGAATACAAACGGGAGAGGAAAACAAACCACCACGGGATACTGACCTTGTTTTGCTACATAATCCTTTTCATAAAATTGCACTCACTCCATGCTTTTCTGAGTGCTTTGCCTCCTCACTCAATTACTGTTCACCAAGCTCTGATTGTTTAACAGGGAGTAGCTGAAACCCAAGAAGAACTCACTCACTCTGCACCACCTATGTATTAGAAAGATCTGTTGCCCTCTGTCTACAAACTGTCAATTCAAAGTAGAGTGGACAAAAAAGAACATACAGGTCCCCAAAGACTGTTTGAGGAAGCCACTCAGGAATCACAGGGGACAGAACGGGGACCACTGTCACTATCTTGGGGTTTTTTTTTTCCATTTTTTTACTGTTTATTTATTTTTGAGAGAGAGAGAGGAGTGCAAGCAGGGGAGGGGCAGAGAGAGAAGGAGACACAGAATCTGAAGCAGGTTTCAGACTCTGAGCTGACAGCACAAAGCCCAACGCAGGGCTTGAACCCACAAACCATGAGATCATGACCTGAGCCAAAGTCGGACACTGAACCAACTAAGCCACCCAGGCACCCCACTATCTTGTATTTATTAGGAAAAAAGTGTATTATTAAAAAAAACCTGTGCTAGATTTTCCTCTCAATGCATTTTCATGGCCCTATCACTGAATACTGAGGACTATTTGAGCAGAAAGATTAAGAGATGGAGGTTGTATTCTGTATTTTCGTCTGAATTATAATTATCATATTTCATAGGCACAAAGCCACAGAAATACCAATAAACTATTTCAAAATGTCAATAATTCTTGTCCATGTCGTTTTTATAGTTTATTCAAAGGATACAGAGTATTTCATAAACACACTTTTTCACAACTCCTAGGAAAGTAGTGATCAGCCTCTCAACTTGCAGACAGACTTTGGGGTGGTTAGACGGTATTCAGAGAGTTAGCCGAAGTCAAGGCCCAGGGAAAGCTACAGCTCTAGGATACTTTTCCTCAAATGTCCCCACACACTAACTACCCTCCCTCCTTTCCACTTCGCTGGCAAGATGTGAATATGCAACCTGCTTCATCCTTGGTTTTTCAGTTCACAGAATACTACGGATACTCCGTGTAAAGTAGCATAAAACTGTACAGATCAAATGAAATTGTTCCCATTTTTGGAGAGAATCAAAAGAGAAACTATTTGCAAAACCTTTTTGTAAACCTGGAAATATGACTGAACTATTTTTGTTAATCAAATCACCATCATCTCTTCCCTTACCATCAGCAGCACTAGTATCAGCTGTGAGAACCTTCTTTCAGTAAAACACTGGACACCTGTTAAGTAAATGTTGCCAATTTTGTTATGATTGGGTAACATTCGTGATGAAAACTGCTGCAACTTGATCTCTGCATTGAAAGCACCAACTCATTCTGCTGAAAGGCACAATTCTAGTGGGACTGACCAAGGAACTCAGTTCACTTAGTCACTTCCTCAACGACAATTTGTCATGCTACTATTTTCTATAATAGTTCATCAGCAACAAGGTGCCTCTCAGATTCATTTGCCAGATCATAGTTAGGAGATGTCTTAGGGTAGTGAGGTCAGGCAGAAAAGGTAAGGAAGAATACAGAATGTTTTAAGGATCCACACAATATTAGGCAATGAGATAAGCACTTTAAACATATTATTGCATTTATCCTAACACTTTTTTTCGACCACAAATTCTATAAAAGGGATATTTGTTTTGTCCATAAAACATATGAATATCCTCAGATATTCATAATACATAGTTATGTCCTTAGAGTTGAGCAGCATTCAGGTATTTGGTAGGTTTTTAAAATGTTTTTGAACAAATTTACAATCATGCAAGGAAAATATTAGTGTACTTAGATGTATAGAAATAGGAAATCTGAGCTTTAGAGAGATTAAATTACTTGCCTGATTGATGGATTTGGCTGATCGTTATATTTAGGTCTCCCTAAACCAAAGTTCGTGTTTTAAATTAATTTACATGGAACGACATATATATATATAGTTGACCCTTGAACCACATAGGTTTGAACTGCACAGGTACTTATATGTGGATTTTTTTCAGTAAATACCATATAGTACTGAAGATGTATGTTCTTTTCCTTAAGATTTTTTTAATGTTTATTTATTTTATTAATTTTATTTATTTATTTATTTTATTTATTTTGAGCGAGAGAGAGAGTCTGAGTGGGGAGGGGGGAAGAGAGAGAGGGAGACATAGAATCTGAAGCAGGCTCCAGGTTCTGAGCTGTCAGCACAGAGCCCGAAGTGGGGCTCAAGCTCATGAACCACGAGATCATGACCTGAGCTAAAGTCAGACACTTAACCGACTGAGCAACCCAGGCTACCCGTTTATGATTTTCTTAATAGCATTTTCTTTCCTCTAAGGCTATTCTTTTTTTTTTTTATGTTTTTTTATTTATTTCTAGGAGAGAGAGGGAGAGACAGCGTGAGCAGGGGAGGGTAAGAGAGAGAGGGAGTCACAGACTGAAACATGCTCCAGGCTCTGAGCTGGCAGTCAGCACAGAGCCCGACGCGGGGCTCAAACCCATGAACCGCGAGATCATGACCTAAGCGAAAGTCGGACGCTTAACTGACTAAGCCACCCAGGCGCCCCTCCTCTAAGGCTATTCTTATTTTATTGTAAGAATACAGTATATAGGAGTGCCTAGGTGGCTCAGTCGGTTAAGTATAGGAGTCTTGGTTTCGGCTCAGGTCATGATCTCCCAGTTCGTGAGCTTGCACCCCACATTAGGGCTCCGTTTGGGATTTCTCTCCCCATCTCTCTTTACCTCTCCCCAGTTTGCTCTCTCTCGTAAAATAATAAAATAAAGCATAATAAAATATTTTTAAAAATACATTATATAATACATATAACATACAAAATATATGATAACTGTTTATATTCTCAGTAAGTCTTCTGGGCAACAGTTGGCTATTAGTAGTTAAGTTTTTTTGTTTTTTTTTTTTTTGTTTCTGAGAAAGAGAGAGACAGCATGAGCAGGGGAGGGTCAGAGAGAGGGAGACACAGAATGTGAAGCAGGCTCCAGGCTCTGAGCTAGCTGTCAGCACAGAGCCCGATGCAGGGCTTGAACCCACGAACCGTGAGATCATGACCTGAGCTGAAGTGGGACGCTCGACTGACTGAGCTACCCAGGCGTTCCTATTAGTAGTTAAGTTTTAGGGGAGTCAAAACTCTGCGTGGGTCTGGCACCTCTAATCCTCATGTTGTTTAAGGGCCAGCTGTACTTGAATTTTTTCTGTTACTTCTGAATTTCCCAGATATTGATTTACTTTTAAATGATACAAAATTTGAAGTAATAAATGCACATGGCTTTCACCCAAACTTGATTAAAGTTGGAAAAACTCATGTTTAAAGGTTGACTACTGATATCCCTGACACACTGGAGACACCAAGAATCTGAACTAACTGCGATTATTTAGATCCCTAACACGTTGATGATACATTCCAGCACTATGTTTAATTTCTATTGGTGAAAAGCCCCACTATGTCCATTGTTTCAAAGCTTAGTCCTTCAGGAGACTAATAGCCACAAAATTCCAGATGTGGAAAACCTGATTTAGATAGTCCACATGGGTGATATAGCATTAGCGAAGAACAATAAGCCATTTAAGTTTCTATCAAAATTGTAGCAAAGCTTTAATTTATCCTCTAATGGTATTATTTATTAATTATACCATAGAATATTTGAGCTACAGAAGGATTAATCACATTTTTCAATACAAAATTAAAAACAAAATAGGTTTAAAATACCCTATCTCCTTCAAAAAAAGAAATCATTAGACCACTCCAGAAATGACACTCTGACATGGAAATCCATGTTGAAGCTATCTGTAAATAGCTCTCTGAGACATGAAACTGCATGTAGCACCTCTTTTTCCTTCCTATTAGGATTTTACTAGGATGTATCCACTGTAGATTTTTTTTTCACAGTGATACTGTGTGAACATTGATATAAACTATAATAGGCAGAATTGTAAAGTGCCCTCCCAAGAGCCTCACACCATGGTGTACAGGCCCTGCATAATTTTCAAGAATAAATATGATGGCTCTTACTCTGATTAGGTTATGTCGTCTGACACACTTGGCTTTAAGACAAGGAAACCATGGGGCACCTGGTGGCTCAGTCGGTTAAGCATCTGACTTTTGGTTTCGGCTCAGGTCATGATCTCACGGTTCCGGAGTTTGAGCCCCACAGTGGGCTCTACACTGATGATGCAGAGCCTGCTTGGAATTTCTCTCTCCCTCTCTCTCTGCCCCTACCTGGCTTGCTCTCTCTCTCTCTCTCTCTCCCTTTCAAAAAAAAAATAATAAACATAAAACATTTTTAAAAAGAACTAAATTCTGCCAACAGCGTGAATGAATTTGAAAGCATATTCTCTTCCAAAGCCCCCAGAAGA